CTAATATATATAATATATATATATATATCAATAGCTAATAATACCTTTATAATATTACCTAATAATAAGGTATTATTAGCTCTTGATATAATTATATATATATGCAAATATATACATATTTGTTATATATATATATATATATATTATGTGTGGATCTAGATATTGATATAGATATCTATTACATCTTGATAGACTCCTGATCACATCTATGATATCATACAAGCGGCAGCTATGATACCTAGGATCATACAGACAAGACCTGCAACATCTATCACACGACCACATTAAAAAATTCTGCACGAAACACATCCCTCGAGAAAACAATCTACGATCGAGAGCAACAAGGATCCTGAATGATCAAGAATCCTCGTGCTCCCCAACCGCGGCGACCCGGCAGAACGCCGCCGCTCTGCAAGACAAGAGAACATACCGGGAGCGCCCTTCCAGAGCGCCTTGCCGCCTTCCTCTCTCAGGATCTTGCGGAAGCAGTCGATGACTCCGTTGTAGACGGTCTGTCCGGCGCGAGCCTGCACTGCTAACCAGCGTACTTGCATGACTATGCCGCGCGGTTTTGTGGGTCTAGTGACGCCGCCGGCATGCCTGCAACACAAACGTTCACTTGTTTTACGACGGCGAACGCAGGTGCGTGGTTCCACGGTCCCGACGAGCGGCGTTCGTTCGTTTCGTTTCTAGCATTAGATCGCGCAGGTTGTCCCGTTTTGTTCTGTTATTATTTGTTACATTTCGTTATTTCTTCGTTTTTTAGTAACGGCGTCTGATATTTGATTGTTAGCGATTCGTTTTTTATCGCTTGCTTGTGATTAAACTACTACATTTACATAACAGTGACCGACAGTCGTGGAGATGACTGACAATCGCGAAAATTGACGTGGACAACCACTCATTCAATGTCAGCAAGACGTCAGTAAAGTCAGTCAAATGTTGGTAAAAGTATTAATCTGTACTGGATTTCTTGTAATAACTAATGCCGCTTTTATACTGGGGTTTATCCACTTCAGCGGTCAGCGGACCTTGAAGCCGGGATAACCCCAGTATATAAAAGGTCGAAAAACACTTAGCCCGAGCCTAAAGTTCATTCCAGCCTGCAGGAGGTGGTTCAGGTCTGTTCAGAGCCGAGCTTAACGTCAGTATAAAACGACCTTATGCCCGACTAAAGTATCCCGCTTACAGAAGCGGCTAAAGTCGTGCGCAGTATAAAACGACCTTAGTCCGAGCTAAAGTTACTCCCGCTTCAGAAGCGCGCGCTAAAGTCGTGCGCAGATAAAACGACAATTATCCAGCAGCTAAAAGTATGCCCACTTCAGAAGCGCGGCTAAAAGTCGTGTCCGCAGTATAAAGCCGACATATCGTACTAATTCTCGCTAATAACTAATAGTAACAAACTAGCATCCCCTGGACCCTGCTACAATTCACCAGATTTCTTCAAAAACATACCGACGTGTCCAACCATTGGAAAAACATATCCAACGGCCCACTGAAAAATAACCAACAGCCCCTGAAAAAATATCTGGCGGCGTCCGCACCGATTGTTTCTCGCGGCCACCGATGCGCCCACGTATCCCTGGCCGATGAAAGGCCACGGTGTCCAACAGTCGCAGGGGGCGTTGTGTCCGTTCGGTCGTACGGCGCAGCGCAGCCATCTTGCCGTGCCGCGTACGTCGGGAAGTAGATCGCAGAGAAGGGGATGTCACGCAGGAAGCAAGCTCTGGCACCCTGCCAACACACACGAGATGCACAACATCGAACATATAGACGCATAAAGCTGGGTTTGCTTCACTTGTTTACGTCCGCCATTGCCGCGTAGCGAAAAAGCAGACGAATGCGCTAGTCCGTTAACGCTGGCAGTGTGGCTGGGCCAGTGCGCCTGCGATTTTACACTCGACGTTACTGGTTGGTCCGTTGTCGCTGCAAGGTTCTTGTTCTTGGCGCTTAGAAGCTGTGTTCACACTACCGTACTTTATGTTGTCAAAATTGGGCGAATTGGCACAATTCCCAACTATACAACCGACAATCGGCAGTGTAAACGGCAAAAGTGCGGCAGCGCAACTGCATCAAGTCAGCACAACTAAGTTGGCGAGTATTAGAACATGTTCTATTTTTTGGCCTTATAGGTGCCTATCAACCAGTTGCTCGCGCGCGGCGACTATTGCAGTTTACAACTGACCGATCTCCGGTTGTATAGTGAGAAGTTGGGGTCCTAATTGCCAATTGACAGCATAAAGTCGGTAATGTAAACCCAGCTTTAGCGTTATAACGAGACGACAGGGTCCTAACGTAACAGCAGGGCATCTCGACGGTAGGGTAGAATAGAAGTAGATAATAAATAATATATATATATTATATATATGCGAATTATCCGCATGAAGAGATGACGGGGATCTTCATGGCACCTCACACCGCGTAGAACTGCTTGATAATACGGCGTGAAAAGAATTAACCACCCGGTGTAATAATGATATCAGTCGATCTACGCTGAATGCAAAATTGATATATTAAATATTGCGACTTTCGAATCGGATGTTTGAATAACGCGATTTTGTGAATTTAAACGCGATTTTGTGAATTTAAATGCGATTAGTGAATTTAAACACGATTTGTGAGTTTAAACGCAATTTGTGAATTTACACACGATTTTGTTAATTTAAACGCGATTAGTGAATTAAAACGCGATACGTGAATTTAAAACGTGATTCGTGAATTTAAATGCGATTTGTGAATTCGAACGAATAGAGAAAGTGGTACTGACATAATAATCTGTCCCCTCAAACCTAAGACTCGACGCTCACGGCCCATGAGCTTCACCGCCGCCGCCGCTGACGACAACACCCTCATCTTACGATACATTGTAGAGACCCAGGAATCCGATATTTATCTGGAGTTTCGTTACTTCTGTGTGAAATTTGACGTACTTTTCCTGGCCTTTTATGAAGTTTAAATTAAAAAATGCGTCCATTTTTGACAAGAAAATAACCTTAACCCCCTATAACTTGTTTTATTCGTTTGTTTTGCATCAATCTGCAAGAATGAGCTAAAATGAAAGAACCGAACGCGGGAAATCCGCGAATCCGCGGAAAATTGCTCATGCCTAGTACCTTGCTAGAGGCCAGGAACCCGAGATCTCGTATTAGACGCTGAGCGCGCCGATCCGGGCGATCGGCGGACAGCAGAACATCGCCGTGCCACCTGGAGGCGAATCTATGACAATCTCGAGGCGGGTTTGGTGAACATCACTTGGAGCGCCAGCCTGCGAGCAGTGCGTGACGAGGGAGAGAGAAGAAAGCCCCACGTCATTTATATATATAAATATATATATATAGTATATATATATATATAGTAGAGAGCAGAAGCCCAGCTTTTATTATATATTATATATATTATATCATATGAGATAGATAGATAAGATAGAAGAAAAGCTCGTTGTTATATATAATATATATATAGGATAGATAAGAGAGAGCAAAGCCATGCAGATTTATATATAACATATCTGCTATATACGAATAAGATAGAGCAAAGGAGAGAGACAGAAGAGCAGACAGAGAGAGAAAGAGAGTGAGAGAGGAAGGTAGCAAGCCTAAAAGGAAAAAAAAAAGAAAAAAAAGAAAAAAAAAAAAAGTAAAAAAAAAGTAAGGGAGCGGGAGGAAGAGTATGGGGGAAGCAGGGAGAGTAGGGAGCAGAGGCGAGCGGCGAATAGAAAAGGGGGAGCAGCGAGGAGACGGCGTAACAGCCTAGTAAGGAGCGAAAGGAAGAGGGGGACATGGAAGATATGGACAGGGAGTCGGAGGCAGGGAAGGAAAGAGAGAGGAACCGAGTAGAAGCGTAAAAAATCCGAACACTTACACAACTCAGCTATGATTTCCGCCCATGGTGCGATTTGCTCCGGACGGTTCGCCTAATTAGAGAGAGAGAGAGAGAGAGAGAGAGAGAGAGAGAGAGAGAGAGAGAAGATATCATATGCACTGCGCACGTGTGATTGAGAGTTGTTTGCTGGACTGGTGTAGGCGAGTGTTCTGATCCTAAGCTAGGTATGTAACGAATAGCGTCGTGTCTTCTCTCACACACAGCGCGCATGGTGCGTTCGTCCCCGCAGTTTGGAGTAACCTTGGTTACCTACGAGTTGTTACAGCGAATGTTCTACGTCGATTTCGGAGGAAGGTAAGGATTTGCGTTCCCTTGTTTCGTGTTCTCATTTCGATATATTTCTAAGTGGTAACTTTCTTATTACATACTAAAGTCATCATTGGTGTCATGGTTCATGGTTCATCCGTTCTAGCATATTGCCAATCATAAATGTCATTTCTGTCTCATACATTGCTGTTCACTAATGTAGATTGTTCCTCTCTGAAATGTTATCATTCGCTAAACTTTCGCGTGCCACTCCAACCTTATCTGTTCACCAACGCGCGTTCCTTCCGCGTCGTATATCGATCGTGCTGTTCGCGTATCGAACGTTCATGAGCGTTGTTCATGAGCGTTGTTCATGAGCGTTGTTCATGAGCGTTGTTCATGAGCGTTGTTCATGAATGTCTCCACCGTTCGTTCCTCGTGCAGCCGGCCGGAAGGTTCGGACAAGATGCCGGAGCCAGAGGGTCCCGCTGTTTCCGAGAATCCGCACCACCTCGGCGGGTACAGGCTAGCGGCGGCGACCTTCGACGGAATAGAAACCAAGTTCGGACTCAAGTTGCCGAGGTTCCAGCTGTCGCCCGCCGTGAAACAAGCGCTGTGATCGTGCACACCAGAGGGATCCACTGTAGGCTAATCTGTGAACACATGCGGCAGCTTCAATTCTCGCGGCACGCCGGTTTTCGAGTCGATGGCTAACGAGGTTATTCGAATGCCGTTTGTTCTGCGGCGAATCTCCGCAGTAGCGGGCTTCGAGAAAATGGTCGGCCTCTATCGGCAGCGCCACCTGTTGGTAGGAATCGTTTTTTTAGCGGTGTAACCTCGATTGTTCTTCTTCAGCTGTGATAGTTTTTTGCTCGCACCCAGTCCCACATCTCCTTGCCGCATACTGCATGTCATCCGCTTGTGAACGCTTACGATCCCTGCCAACAGGTGGAGCCGACGGCAGATCACCGTGGTACGAATCGGCAGGAAAAAAATCGGCGTGGCTACTGGCGGGTCCAGATCTGTAAACGTACAAACTGAGCAATCGCACGCTGCCGCTTGCCACGAGCAAAGCCGTACCCAGTTGTTGCCCACGGCGACTAGCTATTGCCCACGGCGGGTTCCGGTGTGAAAAAGAAACAGCAGTGGTTCGATCCCCCGCGCGTGGGCTTTCTTGCCGTTGAGCGTAGATTCCGGTCCCCCTATCGATAGATTGTGAAAGCGGCGAGCGACGTCAAAGTAGCAAGCTTCACTGGGTGGAACCTAGACGTAGCAGACGACACCGACTCGAAAGAAGTGTCGCTGGCTGTCGGTGACTGGTGGGTAGGTCAAGGTCGTTGGGCGGTCGGTGATTGGTGGATAGGTCAAGGTCGCTGGGCGGTCGGTGACTGGTGGGTAGGTCAAGGTCGTTGGCCGGTCGGTGACTGGTGGGTAGGTCAAGGTCGTTGGGCGGTCGGTGACTGGTGGGTAGGTCAAGGTCGTTGGGCGGTCGGTGACTGGTGGGTAGGTCAAGGTCGTTGGGCGGTCGGTGACTGGTGGGTAGGTCAGGGTCGCTTTGTGAAGTATTGGATCGTCATCCGAACTGGGGAAGAGGGGTCTTTTAGGCAATTCATGTGGAGCTGAAACACGCTCTGCCTTTATGGCTTTATATTATATATATAAATTTACAATATTATAGATATATATGTCATAATGGGACTGTTATACAGTGTGGCGAATAGAGAGTAGCGGTTTGTTCAACGGGGTGTGTTAAGTGGGAGTGTGGCCATCTTAGGTGCAGTTTTGTGCAGCACGATGTTCACTTGTTCAACCCCCTATGTTCTCTTGTTTGTGTTGATGTGCATGGTGGGATGCGTAGGTCTCCCCTTGGGATTGCAATGCGCAGTGATGATTGCAGGGTAGGAAGGTAAACCTATTCAATATCGGTACGATGTGTTAGAGGTGATTTCAAGCAGAGGGTAACCCAACCCCGAGCAGACACATCCACCAACACTCCCCTTTTCTCTTAAAATCGTATTACCAGTTTTAAGGAAAGCGCGCGAGACTATGTTCCTTTAATTTAAATTTAATTTAATTTATTGCAATTTTTTTTAGCTGGGCACAGCCCGCAATCAGTTTCAGTTTGTGTTTGAGTTTACGCTTCACTCCGCTGGCAGAAAGTTGCATCGCACTTTGGATGCCTGCTTGGGTTGGGTGGATGGCTGCTGGGGCCTTTTATTGCATTGTGAAATGCCAGGACGAGTCCGTGTCGTGAATGTGAAAGTTTGTATTGTTCGATCGTACTGTGTCGCGCAAGCGATTGTGACTGTGTGTGTTTGTGTGCGTGTGCTTGTGGGGCTTTTTAGATAGATTCATTCCTGTTTTTTTTAAAGGTTTTTTTCATGTTTAGAGGTTAGCTGGTTACATGAATGCACTGCTGGTAATGTGTAAACTCTTGCTGTCCTGTTTGGTTTCCATCACAATTTAACTGTGTTTTGTGGGTGAGTGTAGAAGACTTGTAGAAGATTAGTAGTCGAAATGGTTTGATGTTATTGTTGTAGCTGCAGCACTGAATTTCACTTCTCGGTGCTCCAGGGGAATACCACTTCAGATTTCGTCTGGTTGTACTCTCGCTACGCATGTGTCCGTCACAACGCTATCGGTTTACAACTCGAATGTAGCCTAGTGTTAATTTCTTGATTTTATTTTGTGTAATTCCTTTTTTTCGTAGTTAATTTTTCGTGTCGCGTGCGTGCGTGCGTCGTCGAGCGTGTGTTTGCAGTGGCGTTAGTAGTTTTGCCTGGATTCTGCAGGTGAAATGCGTGAGCGTGACCGGGTCATCCTAGTCCAGTGACTGACTAGATGGCCTGTCGACCGCTAGTAGAGGTGATAGTGTGGTTGTTGAAAGTTTCCACCAGGTGGCAGCATGAAAACCTCGATCTCTTCTCGCACCTTCCTCATTCGTTGATCTCATAATGTGCTCCCACGAACTGTTTTCCACAACTTCACACTGTATCTATTGCGTTAGTAACACATGTCACCTGTAGGTTTTATATGTAGCTGCTGCTGCTGCCACCTGTGGTCGCCATTCGGCTTTTCGTGCTCCCGTAAGAGGATTCTCAAGTGATGGTCGCACTGGCAGTTATTGTTGGCGCGTGCATCACTAGTAACTGTGCCCATTGTGAGCGATGCAGTCAGACACGCCCGCCTAAACTAAAATTGCAACGATGGAAATCGCGATTACGTGATAAAATCAAGAATAAATAATATTAGATTAATCTATTATTATTCACTCCTGATAAGATCACGACGAATATGTGCTTCCCCGATTACAACACGGCTTTCTATAAATGCACCCAGGCAGGAATGCACGTTTAAACTATAATATGTTCAAGCGTGGAGCCACGACTGGTGTAAGTAAATGTGCGTCGAATTCTGTGTATGTAATGGGTCGCGTTCCAAAACTGGGTGTGATTGTTGGGGATGCTGGGCTTTCTACGGTGGTTCAGAAGGTCAGGGTAGATGAAACTGCAGAGATGGTGGGGCCACGGGAATCCTATCTGAGGGGAGATGAGAAGTTCCTGCAAGGAAAATGAGCTTGAGCTGTTTATCGACTAAGTTATGGTAATGTTTTTTCTCTACGAAATGTTATATTATGTCAGACCATATGGTCAGACGAAGTCTTGATGATTGGTTTGTTATTTATTATAACTATTGTTTGAAACCGTATAAATGTACGTAAAAAATATAGACATTTTTAAAAATAACTGAACTATGTTTTGGACGTTGTAATGAATTTTGCCTGTTTGTAAAACTGTACTTTCATATAGTCAACGAACGATCGTCTGGATTTTGGAATGGATCGTAGAAATGTTACACATTGCTTTTGTATTTCCAAAGCATGAAAATCCACGCCAGGGTCTTGTGCTGGGTCTCTACAGAGGTCTATTACCACAGCTGGTCGGCGTAGCACCTGAGAAGGCCATCAAGCTGACAGTAAGTGACACACTCGTTAGTCAAGATGACTACGGATGACACTGCGCTAGTGTCAAGTAGGCTAGAGTGCTCGTTTAGTTACGAAGGGGTTTTTAAGTTACGTGAGTCACCATGTGCAGTATGTTAATGCTGCGCTTACGTGCGAGACTTCTTTCAACATGGTCTTGTTTACTATGATTCAAGTTTCTGTTTTAAAATTAAATATTTTGTCTTTACTACTATAATGAAATAGTAATATAAATTTATTTAGTAGTGGCGTGCACTTAGACAGGTCTAATAGTATGTGTGCATTGTGTTGTAGTGATTAAAAAGGCATTAGTATCTGCTTGAACACCAAGTAATAAAAAGCTGACTATCTAAGCACACTACTGTTGCTGCAGATCTGATGATATGATGTGACTTCTACAGGTCAATGATTTGGTGAGGGATAAATTCAGGCGTCCGTCCGGAGAAATCGCACCATGGTCGGAAATCATAGCTGGAGGTTGTGTAAGTGTTCGGATTTTTTACGCTCTACTCGGTTCCTCTCTCTTTCCTTTCCTGCCTCCGACTCCCTATCCATATCTTCTATGTCTCCCTCTTCCTTTCGCTCCCTTACGAGGCTGTTACGCTCTTCTCGTCTATCTCGATCCCTCCCTCTTTCATTCCCCGCCTCCCTCCCTCTTTCATTCGCCGCCTCCCTCGTGCTCCCTATCTTCCCTGGCCCCCATCTCTTCCTCCCGCTCCCCTAGGCTGCTACCTTCCTCTCTCACTCTTTCTCTCTCTCTCTCTGTCTCCCTCTATCTATCTATATACAGATATATATATATATAAACAACGTGACTTCTCTTCTCTCTCCTCTCACGCACGCTCGCAGGCTGGCGGCTCTCAAGTGATGTTCACCAACCCGCTCGAGATTGTCAAGATTCGCCTCCAGGTGGCAGGCGAGTTCTCGTCCGCCGGACCCCGGATCGGCGCGCTCAGCGTCATACGAGATCTTGGATTCCTGGGCCTCTACAAGGTACAGGCATGAGAATTTTCCTCGGATTCGCGGATTTCCGGGTTTCGGTTTTCATTTTAGTCATTCTTGAGATTGATG